GTTCATTAATCTCACTTCAAGTTTGGAATCCAGAATTGAACTCTGATTCAGCAGTATTATGGGACTCTCTCATTCCTTGGTCTGTGCCCATGGCCGCTGTGTTGTACAAATCTAATGGGCAACATTCACATTGTGTTCTATGTCAGTAGAGTCCTCTGGAGTTGTGTAGTGTATCAGTCTTGTCTGAATGCTGTGTTTCTAATAAATGCTGCAGCAATATACTATCTCTGGGGGGAAAAGCAACCTTAGGGATATTTGCAGCTGCCTCATATGCATTTCAGTGAAAGGTTTCATATGTACCTCAGATTCAACACCCAGAAAACAACACCCACATCTTGTCACATTATTCAAATAACCCATACTCACACATTCCCTATCCCAAACTGAATCTCCTCCTATATCTCAGATTCACTCAGTCCAGTACATTTGTTCAGGCCTTCATCATATATTACCTGGACAATTGCAGTAGTCCATTTACCAATCTTTTTGCTTGTATTTTCTCTATTGTAGCATCCATTCAGTTCCCAGAGGGATCTTCCTATTGCTGATTCTCTATTACAGACTCTGGAGGGCTCACTTGTGCAGGATAAAAATCAAACTCCTGCATGATACACACACCCCTTCATAATGAGCTCCACCCTTAGTTTCTAGCTATTTCCTGCCATTTCCCTACTGCCTTCCATTGGTTTTATGCTATAGCTCCACCTAGAAAGCTTTGGAAACTGTCCAGGTTTGTTCCCCACTTCTGATCTGCTTCTTGGAATGGAGCTGGGCATCTATAGATGGTAGAAGTTCTTGATGTGATTCTAATGTTCAGATAGGGTAAGAATCACTAGGCTTTTGTCCTTGCCAGCATATCAAGGTCTTGTACCTGCCAACCTTTGTGAAGTTTTCTCCACCAGTAATTCCTTTCTCTCTTCTGCATAATAAAACCTTACTTATTCTTTAATATCTCAATACTGTCTCTTCCTTGAAGGGTTGACTGATTTCTCCCTTCCTCCCAAAGAATTGATTTCTCTCTCAACCATATCTTGTAAGCACTTTTTGCATTTTTCTTGCATGAGTTAGTTGTGAAATATTTAAAGGAAAGATCATTGTGTTATCTTTAATGTGCCCCAAAGACCTTGACTAATGTTTACGCAATAAAATTTGACTAGAATTACACCCTGTCAACCTGACATCAATGCATGAAGAGATACTAGTCTAATCTGTTGTACACTTGTAATATAACTACCCAAAATAACAAGGTATTAGAAAGCATCTATCATGGTATGATAATAGTCAGATCTTGCCAGAATAATGGAATTTTGTTCCTTGACAATATGAAAAATTATAACAAAGAAAAGTTGTTAGACTGATTGTGTGTTGAATGAATGATCCAGTCTATGAAGCTCTTAATTTTTTTACAGATAGTTTTCTCAATATTAATCTACAAAGCCTTGTTCCAGTTATACAATTTAAGTGAATGGGAAATAGTGAGGCACTAGCTATCAAAGAAAGGCTTTTGTTATTAATAATTGGTAGATCTGAGGCAGTAGTAGAATGACACTGTAAAAAAAAAAGGCAGGGCAAGCCTACATGTCAGTATAACTAAGATCATTATTACATTTTGGCCACTACAATTCATCGTGGAGATGAAGTGTGTGAAGATTCAGAGTTAAAGGAATGGAAAATGGGTCCTATGAGGAAAGGTTGTACAATTAAGACAAGAGAAGGGTGAGAGATACACACTTGATTACTGATTTTTATATAATTTTTTTATATAAACAAAAAGCTACACATGGAAAAATAGCTTAAATTAGCATATGCAACTTTTAATTGGACATGAAGAAAAATTTTCTAATTAACTGGATTACAATTTCAAACCTGATCATGTTTGTTCCCTAGTTTAAAAACTTTAATTGACTTCCTATTGTCTCTAGGGCAAAACGAGTATTTTTTTTTTAAATAGAGTCTATAGTTCATTAGATAATTTCTGACAAATCAAAGTTCCAATTTTTTTTTTTGGAAGATGACATACAACAGTGGTTTGGGAGCCTTAATTTGTTAGAAAATAAATTATAGATTATATGGAAATCGTATATGTTCTGTCAAAAATATATGAAGATAAATATGAATAAGAAGAAAAAGAGGTGGAAAGAGATGTGGAGCCAGAATTACTTGTGCTGAGGGCCAGGTGCTCTTTTTATGTTATTTTGAATCCTATAGTCAACAAGATAGTGATCATCAGCAGAAGAAACATGCTGCAAGATAGTGTTCTGTCTTCTGAGCAAGTTAACATTAAACAAATCCACATTTGTGTATCCTCAGCTAAAATAAAATGTTTAATGTACATATCTTTTTAAAGATTCCTTTCCTTTATTATTTTGAGGAGAAATTTTAAAACTTTTAATCTACAATAATTTCAAATTTACAGAAAAGTTGCGAGAGTAGTACAAAGAATACTCATGTACCCACCCTATCTTAGTTTGCTCTGTTCATCAGAGCAGGATATCATAGACTGGGTGTCTTGACAAGCAGACATTTATTTTCTTTGGTTCTGGAGACCGAGAAGTACAGTATAAGATACTTTCAGCAGGATCCAATTTCTGCTGGTGAATGCACTCTCCTTCCATAATAAAAGGCTTTCAGGTGGTCCTCACCTGGCAGAGGGTGGAGGAAGGGGTGTACACAACACTAATCTGTGAGGTCCCTCCCCTTATGCCTTCGTGAAACCTAATAACTTCAGACTCAGTCTCCACATACAGTCACCTTGGGAGTTAAAGCTTCAACCTACAAATCTGAGGGGAGGGAGATACAATTCAGAACATTGTATAACATTTACCCAAATGTACCTATTAACATTTTACCTCCTTGGGCCCTTCACCCTCTATGTATGTGTGCACACACACAAAATATTTGTTCAACCCACCTGAGAATACAGATGACTCACAACTTTACAATAGTTTGACTGCAATTCTTCGGGTTTATGATGGTGCAAAAGTTACGTGCTTTCAGTAGAAACTGTATTTTGAATTTTGAGTTTTGATTTTTTTCCCAGCCTTGCAGTATGTGGCACCATACTGTCTTGATCTTGGGCACCCACGAGAAGCCACAGCTCCCAGTCAGGCTCACAATCAGAGAGTAAAAACTGATCCTCTTCGATGTACTGTATTGCCAGCAATTTTTGGATATTGTGTTTTGACATCCTCTCATGTCCATTTCTATGGGTACACAATTTTTAAATTTTGAATTAGGCTTAGACAGAAAATTTGCACACACAATCGGAGACCTAGAAACTCTACCCAGCTTCCCCTGACATTAACATCTTATATCACTGTAGAATAGTGATCAAAACTAGAAAATTAGCATTGGTACAATATTATTGACTGAGCTACAAATGTTATTCAAATATATCAACTTTTCTGGTAGTACCTTTACTGTCTGGGGATCTTGTCTAGGATTTCACACGACTTTTAGTTCTCATTTCTCATTAACTGCCTCCAGTCTAACAGTACCTCAATCTGTCTTTGTCTTTTATCATCTTGACACTTCTGATGAATACAGGCCACTTGTTTGTAGAATACTACATTCCTTATTTTGGGTCTGTAATGGATACTCTATATTACTGACAAGGATACCACAGAAAGGATGCTGTACCCTTCTCTTTGACTCATGTCCAGGTATATAAAGTCATGTCTTATTAGTAGTGATGATGTTGAACTTCATCACTTGGGCAAGGGGGTTTTTGCTGTATTCTCCCTCTGAAGTTACATCTTTCCCTCTTGAAGTTAATAAATATCTTAGAGATACTTCAAGACTATACAAATAACTTTTTTTCCACTAATTTTTGCATTCATCAGTGAGCCTTGCCTGCAACAAATCTTACTATAGTATTAGCCTAATAGTGAATCTCTTATTTACCTCTTTCCTTCTACATTTATTGATTAGAATTCTGGAAAGAGAAGCTGCATAGATTGGCTTTAAATGGAGACTCCCACATTCTTCCAATCATTTTTGAGACTTCAGATTATTAGTTTGGAAAACATTTTTTTTTTTTTGGAAACCATATTTTTTTTAAAGTACACTTTTATTGTTCTTATTTAAGCATTATATTTGATTGTTTGCCTGAAGGCGTTAAATCACTTAAGTTATACAGTTTCTTTATTTTAGGCAGACTGAATAACACTCTTAATTACATAAATGAAAAAAATCAGTGACTTATTACGAAAATAAAACACAGCTGCCTGTGGTGGTGCCTACCCTTAATCCCAGTGCTTGGGAGGGTGTGGCAGGAGTATTTTAAGGCCCAGGGCAGCCTGGGATACCCAGCAGGTTTAAGGCTAGCCTGGACTATATAGTGAACTTTGCCTCAAAAAAATCAATCAGTCACACTCTGGGTGATATTAAAAGGGACACACTACAGCTTGAAAAACTAGCTGTTTAGCTTCTGAATGTCTAGTAGAAAAGTAATACTGTTGATGCTTAGCTACAAAGAGTTCATGGGACACATGTAGATTCTGAAGAACTTAGTTTTAACATTTTGTGGCTCTGTGTTTACTTTGGTAATTGTAGCTGAAGTCTACAGAATACAGTATATTTAGCACAGATTCTCATAGTTCAGCAGTGTTCATCAACCATAGTTATCATACAGCATTTTCCCAGAATGGCTGGTCAGCAGAAAAGCATTGAATTGGAGCTGATACATTATCTCTAGTTTTATTAAAAAAAAAATTAGAAAAGAGCATCATTTAGATCAGGGGCTGACAGACTTTTTCTGCAAAGGTCCAGATGGTAAGTTCCTTAGACTTTACAGACCATCCAGTGTCACAGACACTCAGCTCTGCTGTCATAGCTGTAGACACTCTGCAAGTGTGTGGGTATGACTCTGCCCAGTCAAACTTTGTAGGAATGTCGGCGGGCTGGGAGTTAGGGTTCACCGACCCCTGATTTAGGTTATAACAATGTACGAAACTCCAAATGTATATAAGCTTTTGTCCTTATCTCATTTTTCCATATAGGCAAAAGACTGATCTTTGAAAATATGTATTGGGGAGATAGTCACATCCTGTTGAATACCTTATGCTGGTGCTGCCATCGAAAAATCTGGTTACACTCTGGGGAGGCCTGCAGGACGGAGCCACCTCAGCCCTGAGATGCACATCCGGCCTTAGTAGGCCCACCATGAATAGATACACAACGATCAAGCAGCTCGGGGATGGGACTTATGGTTCTGTCCTGCTAGGAAGAAGCATTGAATCTGGGGAACTGATTGCTATTAAAAAGTAAGTGTTCCTTTGTTCTGGTGAATTCATCTTCAGTTGTACATCATCAAGATAGTTTCAGCTCTACTTTCCATCCCCTGTCTTTGAGACATCCCTAAGGGAGAGTGGATGGGAAGTGTGGAGAAGAACCTGGGGTTCTGCGTTTCTGCAGTACTCATACTAGAGGTCTTAGAAGACTGCCATGTTAGCCTTACTGCTTACTACTTTACAAATAGCATGAGGACTCTTCTCATGTTTTCTTATTTTGTGAGGTAATGACAAGCAGGCTAATGACTATCACTTCACAGGAAAGGAAAGGAAGCTCTGAGAATTTACATGACTTAATTGGGTCACTCAAATGTGGGGTGGTCTGGTGATTTGAGTATCCTTCACCCTGCATACTTAGTCTTTGCATTTGGAGTCCAGATCTGTGGTGTTAGTTATGTGTTGCCATGTAACAGTCTGTTTCAACACTTGATAGTTTAAAACAGCATGTGGTTATCATCTCAGTTTCCGTGGGTCGGCACAGCTTAGCTGAGCTCTCTGGTTCAAGGTCTCTGATGGGTGCAGTCAGGCCTCACTGAAGGCTGGGCTGGGGCTGGGGAAGGGTCTACTTCTGAGCTCACACATGTGATTGCAGGCAGCATTAGAACCTTGTGTGTTGTTGTGACAAGGACCTCAGATTTCTGCTAGCTTTTGGCTGTCCCCAGGTTCTTGCCAAGTGAATCTGTTCAAAAAGCAGCTCACAACGCGGCAGCTTGCTTCATCAAATCATGGACAATAACAAAACAATAAGAGAGTCTTCTAAGATGGAAATCGTATCTTTTTTGCTTTTATAAACTACAGTGGTATCTCAGTTCATGCATTCAATTCCTTCCATGATTCTGGTCACAAACCGGATTGGACGAGAACTGAATCAAATTTAATGGTTAGGTTCAATGTCGATCTTATGGGGGAAATTTGATTCAGTTCTCATTCAGTCTGGTTTGCAACCAAAATCATGGGAGGAATTATGTTCATGAATCAAGGTACCAATGTAATCACTGTAGTGACATCCACTCAAATTACTGTATTTCACAGGTTAGAAGCAAGTGATTCTTAGAAGTGAGGAGAGGGTTATATATATGAATATATAAGTATGTATGAATACTTGGAAGGGGGGGTGTCTGAGAACTGCCTTAGAGTCTTCCTGCTATGCCCATCCATGGCCAATTGTCTTCTTAGCATCTCCCTTTGAATGCCATGCAAACATTTCAAACTCATCATGCCCAAATCTGAACTCATATTCAGCATACTCTCTTCTCTTACCCTACAGTTGTTTCTCCTTTACTCTTACTTGTATTGATAAGTGACACTACCATTCTTTAAAACCTCCTGAGTATCCTCTTGACTTGCTTCCTCCATATCCTTCATTTTTGGCTGTCCAGTCCTGTTAATTCTACTGAACCTACTTCTCTGTGTTGTCTCTAAAGCGTCCCATTCAGGCCATTACACTTTACCACCTGACCGCTAGGTCTCTGTAGGGCTCCTAGCTTCCACTTAGTCCCCTACTCATACCATACAGAAGACTATTTTAAACACAAAATCTGATCATGTCAAACATTCTTTGTGTCCCACCTGACTTCAGTGCCCCCAACAGCCCTAAGCCCCAACTGCCCACCTTGAGGTTACCTGAGTCCTGTACTCTTTAAAGAATTTCCCATCTGTTTATTTCCTGTTTCTCTGCTCTTTGCCCTGGCTTCCTGGAATCACTTCCCAAGTAAACCCACATTACCCATGTACTTGCCTCTGCTTTGAGGGGAGTCTAAACCAAGATAGCTCTTGGTGTTTGCCTGTTAGTTTTAGGGTTAAGCCCCACATTTTAAATGTGACCTATAAATTTCTCCATCATTTAGCCCCTGCTTGTTTTCTTCAGCCTTGTCTCCTGTCACTGTGTCCTTGCCCATTTGCTTCAGTCTTGCAGCCTTTCAGCTTCTTTTTTTTTTTTTTTGGTACTGGAGATTGAACTCAGGTCCTTGTGCTTGCGAGGCAGGAGGCGGAACCACTGAGCTAAATCCCTGGCCCCGCCTTTCAGCTTCTTGAGTTTAGGTCCTGCATGTGGTACTATTTCCTCATGCCTCTGACCTGACTAAATTCCTCTCATCCTTCAGGTCTGGGTTGGAATAGCTGTTCATTAGAGGAGTGTTTCCTCATGAACCAGACTAGAATAGGTCCCTTTTGGACCCATTCTTACATTGCCCTGTGTCTTTCCATTTAGCCAGAGAAAATTATTTTCTACCCTCCTCCTTTGATATTAGCTCCATGAGGGATGCCTTTCTTGTTATTGTTTCTCCAGTGCTTAAGAAAGCACCTACCCATAGGAGAGAGATGAGTAATATTTGGAGCATGAATAAAGGAATTGAGCACTCAACCAGGAAACACTGTGGCAAGTCACGGGGTGTCAGAGAGAGCTGGAGAGGTGGAAGTTGTTCTGTTAGTGACCAGCTTAAGACCTGGGGAGCGTTGTGCACTCTAGTTTCCTCACCTGTCTTATCTGTTTCAGAGGGTGGTACACAAACAAATGAGTGAGTGTATTGTGTTCCCATAAAACTTCATTTATAGAAACTGAAATTTTGATTTCATATAATTTTCACATATGACAAAATGTTATTCATCTTTTGATTTGTTTTCCCCAAGTATTTAAAAACACAAATACCATTCCTAATTCACTGGCTATATAAAAGCAGATGGTGGGGTGAATTTGGCCCATGGACTATAGTCTGCCAACCTCTGTTCTGGAGGGAGTGCAGAGCATACTATTCAGTATAGTAGTGCATTACCATACTTGGCCTCTACACTTAAACTGAAGTAAGACTAAAATTCCATTCCTGTGTTGCACAATAGCCATGTGTGGAGTGGTTAGCATGCTGGATGCCACAGAACATTTTCACTAACATAGGATGTTCTTTTGGGGAGCTCTGATCTAGACAGAATAAGCCAGAGAGAGTTCCCTCCTGGACAAATTAGCTCATTAATGGGGGCGCAAGACAACAATCCAGGTTTCTTGCACTGTACCATGCCAACACTGCTGAGAAATTTTGTGATTTAGGCTTGATTGCAATGCCAGGTCTTAAATGCTGTTTTGAATAATATAATACTTGGTAGAAATCAAAATCACCTTCAAGCAGTATTGATTAGGTCAGAATTAAAATATTAAAAAATAAAATTTAGCCTACTACTGGGAATGAACATGCTATTTTTTTTTCTCTTTTAGAATGAAAAGAAAGTTTTATTCCTGGGAGGAATGCATGAACCTTCGTGAGGTTAAGGTATTTATTAATATACCAGGAGATAATTTATGTTTTATTGATTAAAATAGCTTTATGTATGATTGGATTTATAGTTGATGTAATCATTCCATTTGTAGTTTTCCACTAATGCTAAAAGTGGGCAAATCATAAATAGCTAGTAGTTAATGAAAGTAGATTACAATATTCTGTATTAGTGAATATGCTATTAGAAAACCTTTATCATTAATGGATTTCTTATATCAATATACATCAATAAAATAAATTGAATATATTTAGTGAATTGCTGTTGCCTCCTAAGCTGATTGTTCTTATTAATACACAGGAATATTTATTTGTGAAGTTTTTTCCTCGATAGAGTAGCAGTACCTATTTCAGGTACTTCTCCGATCATTTGTGCTCTGTTGTCTGGGAGAGAATTCCCCAGCCAACGTGACACTGTGTCAGTATTGCATAGCACGTATCTTCACCTTTATTAGGCATTCTGACACGGTTATTGCTCCCTTCCTTTCTCCTGTCCTTTTCATTCTGTTTCACCTCTCATCTCCATCAGAGTACCTTGACCACTTTGGTTCTGTCTGTGTAATTCTCTTCTTATGTGGCGGAGTGGTGCTCCATCTGCCCTTCATTCTCTCACCAAGCCCTGTGTAGAGACTTAGTAGAATACTGAAACCAGACCTCCGTCTCTGCCCTGGGGCTCCCAAACAGGGAAAGGGCTTTCAAAGGTAGAACAGGGCTCTGCAGACTCTTTTTATTCAGATATTCCTTGTTTAATGACTGAGTTTCACTCCTGTAACTAAGTGGTTAAATGAATTGGTCAAAAGCAGCACTAAATGAGGGATTGTATATAGTATGTACATTACAATATTCAGAACAAAGACATGGTCAAAGGAAACTCTAACTTGATAACTTTGCTTTTTATTTGCTTAACTCTTACATGCAGTACTGTAATGTATAACAGAACATAAAACTACAGATTTGTACTGCACAGTACAATCAGCAACAATTACAGTACTTTAAATAATTTATTAAAAAATTACAGTACTGTATAAACATAGTGTACTGAACCAAAAAAAAGTCATGGAGACTCTATAAATAAGATGTACAGAACCATACACCCTCCCAAAAAAAGATGGGTCATAAGTCCGAGTGGCAGATAGTAAATCCAAAAATCATATGTCGGTTGTAAGTCTGAACAGGTAGTAAGTTAAACAGGTAGGTTGTTAAACGAGGAGTATCTCTAAAGGGCTGGGTAGTAAATATTTTAGACTTCCTGGATCAAAAGGTCACACTCAGGGATTATATAGGTATATATGTAACAAGAGTGAAAACAAATTTCCAAAAAAATGTTAACTTATGAAATATGATACTGATGGAATATAATTTTGTATATTAGAAGTCTTCCAATGAGAAGAATGAGGTATTTTTGAAGGGGATTAATATTGAACTTAATTAGGATTCAAATCAGTGTTCCCTGTCCTCAAATTGATTGCAAATGTTCATCTGTAAAACTATTCTTTGCTCATGGACCACTCAAAACAGATGTTGGATTGCATTTCACCCATTAGCTTTTACTATGCTGACCTCTTGCCTAGAAAATAAAAGCTCTGAAACATCCAAGACCATCAGAAACAGAGAATGATCAAGGGGCATTTTCTTAGAAATGCGGAGGACTGAGAGGTGTCCTTGACTTTGATGCTAAACCTTTACTTTTATATACAAGTAACTGCATTCATTCTAATGGAAGAGAGATTGCAGAGGCATCTTCGAAAACCTGGAGGTACGTGACATCATAGGAAGCAGGTACCACCCTGGGCAGGATTGGTGAAGGAACTGTTCTTCTAGCTGATGACCACCAAAATGGCTCCCACTCTTCCTTGCCTGCACAGATGCCCCACCAGCCCATGGTGCCTTCACACGAATTTACATCACAGGACACAGCCAGCTGCTGAGTGTGAAGGGAAGGGAAGGAGACACAAAGGCGGCCCCTTGCTGAAGTTCTTCATCCCTTCCTCCTTGCTGAGACTCTTCTTTTCTGCCTATGGATGCAAAAGGGAACAGAAAAGGAAAGTTACTAAAAGACCATCATTTCTTTTTTTTTTTTGGTACCAGAGATTGAACTCAGGACCTTGCGCTTGCAAGGCAGGCACTGGAACCACTGAGCTAAATCCCTGGCCCCAAAGACCATCATTTTTCATGTCCTGCCTAATCCCAACAGCAGAGGAAATGAAGAGACATCCTGCACTTTGGTACATTGCATGACTTCTTCATCTCTTTTCCCACCGGTCCTCGTGTGCCCCTCTGGAGAGCCTAAGGGCCCAGGGAGATTCTTCACCTGATGACCTGCTGATGGAGGGGATCCTTGCTCCTGTAATGAGAAAAGGGGGACCCAGTAACATTTTCTTTGAAGTACTGTCTTACATGGTGCTGTGGTCTTCCAGGTGCCATCAGAGTTAGTAGGCTGCCTGTATTTTGCCTGCTTTTTTCCTCTGCTCTCTTTTTAATTTGTTTCTTTTTAGCAGGCCTGGTGGTTCATGGCTGTTAACTCAGCACTTAGAAAACTAAGGCAGGAAGATTCCTCTGGTTTCAAGGCCAGCCTGGGTCACATAGTGAGTTCAAAAACCCTGCACCATGTAACAAGACCTTGTCTCAAAAGCCAAATTTTTTCTTTACCATCTTAACTGCTGATGTGTTTAGATCCTTACTCCAAAAATGTCCCCTCCTTTTATCTTTAAACTCTTCTTTCCACTGGCTTCTTCTCTTCAATCTGTAATTGTGTCCATTCTCCTCCAATCCAGAAAAGCCTCACCTCTTTCTCTCCTTAGTATTCCATTTCTTTGCTCTCTTTACCTTGCCTTCTAAACTTTCAGTGCCACTTCCCTACATATCATTTATTTTTCAACCTAAATGAGTCAGGCATCTCCTCCTGCAACCCTGTTGAAGCCAGAATTCAGTGGGTATTACCTGGCACCCAAACAGTTTGCCCTCTGCCCACTTCTCCACCCAGTCTTCCAGATGAGCTTCCTTGTGAGGCAGATTAGTGTGATCCTCACTCTTTATTGCTCAGACATGGTCTGCACTCCATTTCCACACTTTTCTCAGGCTGACTTCCCTCCTGAGATCCCTTTCCCTCCAGTGTACTGGTATAGATGCAACTGTTCTCCAGCCACACTCCAAGAAATGTTCTCACTGATACTCAGCATTGACCTGTTGCTCATTCCTGCAACATCTCTGATGCTTTGACATTTAATATGGTTTTCCTTATTGAGTGCATTTTTAATTCATGCATTTTGAGCTTATGTCCTTCTTCCCAAGTAGGTTGTTTCCTCTTTAAAGTAGATACTATGTTTTATACCCTGGGATAGTTGTGGGGCCAAGAATATTGTAGCTTTAATAGGTAAGGAATACCTCAGAGGTTCAGGCAGGAGGATCCAGAATTGGAGGCTAGCCTGGGCTGCGTAGCAAAACCAGGTCTCCAACAAACAAACAAACACACAAACAGGTTGATCAGTCCCTAAGAAGGGGAGAAATGATAATATCCAACTGGAACCTTTTTCCAGGAGGACTGTCCCCATATGGACCAATGATGGAGTTTGTCTCTGATACAAGTGACCTACCTCTACCCCTCCTTTAGAAACCTTTGCTAAGCCAGATAAGATGACTCTTCCTGGAAAAAAAAAATCTCTAAAATGAATTACATGAAGTCTTTGATGCACAATTTATCTTCTTATATTAAACTGAATCAGACTTTAACTTGCTCGTGAGCCTCACATAGAAACAGGAGCTGGGAGCCACTCTTAGCCTTGGACTAGGAATTTACCCTCAAAATAGACTTCAGGCTAAAAGCTGAAGGTACCTCAAGCCTTGTTCAGAATTCTCTTCCAGGAAAGCTGGAAAATAGTCTTCTTTTCCTCTGAATGAATTTACCCTGAAGCCCCTCATCTGAGCAATTCTCAGCCACTGCTTGTGAAATATTTTAAGAAAACAGGCAGAGAAGATGGCTGCATTTGGGACAGCCCAGTGAATACTTACAACTTAAGCAATGTGTACGTTTTTTTATTCATGGAGAACCAAGAACAAGCAGCCTCATTGGATTATTCTGGAAGATCTGGCCTAAATAGTTGGCCAAAACTGTGAAGAATCCTTGCCAAAGAGGCATCTTGGGAGAAACTTGTCCTATGGGAAGGAAGCTCCTGAAGAGTCATACTCTGTTCTTGTTCACTGAATATGTTTCCTCTCTCTTTCCCCAGCTGCTTAATGTAACTTGATCGTGTGGCACATTCCCAAGCCCTGATCTCTTGGCTACCTTATTACCCAGTGTCCTTCCAGATCTGGATGTTTGTTTTAACACTTCTATCTTTAAGTATTTTGTTCCTTTTATAAAAGGGATGATCTTATTAATGAAATTCAAAGGTAAAGAGGGCTTTACAATTGGTTATTAGTATTAGACTTACTGCTCTGTGAGGAAACAGCTTTTGAATTGAAGGGTTCATGGTTAGCAGTCTCCACAAAAGAGACAGTCCATCAAGTTTTGATTATCCAGTAAGCAAACCAATAGTTTTGTCTCTAGATGCTCTACAAGAACAGGATTGCTGCTCACTGAAGCAGTTTTCATTTACCACAGGCAGAACTAAGGATGCAGAGAGAAAGTAGTATATGTACACATAACAGTAATCACAGGTACTCACAGAACTACATCTGTGTGAGGACCAGCAAGCAAAGGTCAGGTGCTGATTTCTGACCTACCCTCTTATTCCTCACCTGCTGCCTTTTTTTTTTTTTTACCTTTATTGTTCTTTGAGGCAGAAAAACTTCTTCCATCTCACTGTAGCCTTTACAGTAAGATGTCTCCTTTTCTTTTTCCATAATTAACTTATTTTTTTTGTATATAAAGGATTACAAAATTCCAATTTAATACATTTTGGAAAAGCAAATGTAAAATAACTTGGGCTTATAAAACCAGAATTTACAATTATCTGTGAATAGTTTAAGACAAATCATAGAACCATTTTAATTACAAA